GTTTCTTAACTATGTAACATTGGAATCAATATAGTATTTAAAAATGTATTTTTCCATAAAGAGTTGGAATCTTGTTTCCCTGGAGACAGCAATGATGCTATGCATACATGGTATATTCATAGTCTAATGCTCAGTTTCAAGCTCTATTACATAAGTTGTGTATATAAATGACAAATTAACTCTAAGCATTCCCCTTCCTGGAAAATTTAAGGAAGTAGAGAAGGACAATCAAACTCAAGGTTGCCAAATCGTTTTCACTGCAATTTTTAGCTTCTAAATCAGTTATGGAAATTTATATGATGAGGTGGAAGAATTTTTCTTTTGATGGCCTGCTTTCTTAAACTCTGATCTCAACACAAGAATACATTTTTCTGAAAGACTTTTAAAAAGGGTTTTACGTTATTTCTCATTTTGAAACCATGGAAAATTGGCTTTTGATAATTCATAGTTTTTAAGGCAATTTTCCTATTTCTGACCATATATACAAAAGATTAATAGCATGCTGTATAGATTTTTTCCCCAATGTATATTTTGTTTTTGTTAATCCTCATTTGAGGATATTTTTTCCATTGATTTTTTTAGAGAGAGTGGAAGAGAGGGAGGGAGGGCAAAAGGCAGAGAGAGAGAGAAACACTGAAATGAGAGAGACACATCTATTGGTTGCCTCCTGTACGTGCCCAGACCAGGGCTGAGGATCAAACCTGCAACCCAGGTACGTGGTCTTGACTGGGAATCAAACCCCAGACACTGGTGCACAGGCTAATGCTTTAACCACTGAACCATACAATCAAGGGCCCCAGTGTGTATTTTTAAAAGCTTATTCTTTTAAAACGACCTCAACCTACTTTCTAATAGACTGTTGAGATGACATAGTGCTAGAGTTATAAGATATTTTAATGCATATTTATAGGTATAAGGTATAAGAAGTTCTAAATATTTATAGTTGATTTTAACTGCAAAATCTTATAAGGACTGGAAAACGTTTTATGTCTCTCCCACACTGTTTTCTAAAACATAGTTCTGATTCAGAAGATCTGGGGTGGGCCTGGACATTTCTACAAGTGATTCTGAGGCCCAGCCAGGCATGAGAACTATTGCTCTAAGCTTAAGGATAGTAACCAACCAGAAAACAAACCAAAACTCTCTCTTCTTTAACAGACCTGGGTTAGCGTGGGGAGGCAGGTCAGTATTCCACTCCTATTTGTCAATTTGTGAGAGACACGACACAACTTGGGTGATTCCTCTCCCACCCAGTCCAGAATCCTTTAGTAAGTGATGAGTGGGAAAGTCTACCCTCTTCCAAAAACCAACCACTTTTCTTGGGGAAATGACAGCACATCTTTTTTTCTTTTTTTTTTTCACTTAAGAAAATACAAAATGTTTCAAGAGCCCATTGCTTACAGAAAGATCATAGTAACCATAAAGGAAATTCAAGCTAAAGAAAATTGAGAGATGGCTCTAAAGAATGACTCATCTGCTTTTTTTGCTTTGGGCCAACTCACTGTGGGACTCTGTTTATGAGTAGTATCTGCCACTAATAATCTTTTTCTCTTGATTTGATATTAGTGGCTTTACAAAGAGGTCGAATGGCTGGGAGAAGGAGGAGGAGATGATAAGTGTGAATCCACAGCAATGTCTACAGCTGGTTCTCAACCTTCCTAATGCGGGGACCCTTTAACACAACAGTTCCTCGTGTTGTATGTGGGCGTATCTGCATGTGGGCGGACCCGCCTGGAGACAAATAGAAGAGCGATGTCTCGGTTCCTAAGACCATCGGAAATATGTGTTTTCCAATGGTCTTAGGCAACCCCTGTGAAAGGGTCATTCGACCCCCCAAAGGGGTCACGACCCACAAGTTGAGAACTGCTGCTCTACAGGTTACCAGGTAGCCCTTCCTATGAGCTAGTTCATGTAGGTAAATATCTTTAAAATAAATTACTATAGGTAGGAGACAAAAGTAAAGCTGTCTACCTAGGCGTTAGAATTAACTTAAGAAAAAGCCAGGGCCCTGGCCGGTTTTGCTCAGCGGTTAGAGCGTTGGCCTGCGGTCTGGAGAGACCCAGGTTCGGTTCCTGCTAAGGGCATGTACCTTGGTTGCAGTTTGTCCCCGGCCCTGGTTGGGTCATGTGCGTGGCAACCACTCGATGTGTCCCTTTCACGTCAATGTTTCTCTCTCTCTCTCTCTCCCTCCCACTCTATCTGAACAAAATATCAAAAAATGTTCTCCAGTGAGAATAAAAAAAAAGAAAAAGCCAGGAATTTTCATTTAACCACTTTGGAAGTGTTTCTGCATTATCTTCCCCATCCACAAAAGAAAACACAGCCACAAGACAAATTACTCTTTGAAAACTTCAAAGGCTATTAATAACCACAGCTACAATCGAACTTGTGCTAAAATTAAAGTTTAAGAAGCTTTAAAATATTTTTAGTTCTTTTCATCTGAAATTGTTTAGACTACCTTCAGAGAGACTTCTCAACAGTTTCCTTACTGGACAGAGTTGAGAAGTTTTATAAGGCCAAGGTCACTAGAATGATTTGATTTAGAAGTTTCCTTTACAAGGAGAGAGAAGGAGAGAAGAAACAAAGCAGCAGCAATAAGCACTAGTCAACCAAAGAGGGCTGAGATGACAGTTCTGTGGAGAAGTAAAGCAGATCCAAATGCAGAGGTTAGACCTTTCATCTTCGCTTCTACAGTCAAATTTGTTTGGTGTACCTTGGAGAAGTAGGTGCTTTCAAGGGGTCCTCCCACAAATCTCCTTCGCAGCCAGCCAAGTCCAATGGTGCTCAGCCCACTAACCCAGGGAATACTTGAGTCAGCCGGCGCCTACCCGTGACACCTCATTCAAAGTTCTGTACCAAGAAGCCACGAAAATACCATAAGAGAAAATGCACCTGATTAAGCAGAGAAACATTAGCCCACCCTTGAATTATATAATAGCAATTATTATTATTTTTTTTAAAAAAGAGGCAAAGTACATGCAAACCAGCCCTTGAATCTGAGTCCAGTTTAGAAATCTGTACATTTGATTAATATTTTTGAAGGACTGAGGACTCCACAAATAAGTAGCAAATATTTCCTAGAAGAGCCAGCATAATTATGTCAATGGAATTAGATGGAACCTTTCTAGGGCAAGAACTAAAATAAGAGGCAGCAGTTTCCTCTCTTCTGTGTTCTTTTAGACAAAATGAGCGGTGGTGGGTGGTTCCAGTGGGCTGCTGTGGCTTGAATCAATATTCCAAGGGGCGGTCAACACCCATTCAGAATGGCACGAGCCGCTGCCTGCAGGTAGACTGTTGGCCTGCTGAAAGGGGGCTCTCAGAGCATGGGACTGAAACTAAAGCTAACGCTTTCCATCCTAGGGTGCTGGTCACTAACTGGGCAACACTGGGATAATAAGCCTTCCTGAGCCTCATTCTCCTGGGCTGTTAGAGGAGAAAACTGGAGTTCATCTCCAAGGTTCTTTCCAGCTCTGAAGTTCTTTGTCAAAGACAGGGAGATAGGTGCCACCAGGAGAAGAGGCATTGAGACCTGGCTGGACCCTGTCCTAACTTTGAACTGTGACAGGAATCGCTGCTACAGATTTTTTGGAGGGGGAGCACAGGGCTCCCTAAAAACACAAGGAGATTTTACAGTGACCTGACAAGTGGCTTGAGCCCAAGATTCTCTCTTACCCAAAAGCCTCTTCAAATGACCTAGAGGAGCAGTCAAGAACTTGATTTAGGGAGTCTAGGATGTAGGGCCCAGCATGGTAGGAAAAGTACGGGTCACATTATGCAGGCAGATCAGTGAAGGGTGGCTCCTCCCAGGCACAAACCACATCAAAACATGCTCAGGACCTGGTGGATGAGTTTGCCAACGTTCGTTACAACAAACCCACGTGATTCCCACACTCGCACTCTTTTCCTGTCGGGCCCAAGTCCTGACCTGTGCGTACCTAATCCACAGCCAAGGTCTTGAACACGCTCACTAACACTTGGATATATTTTAAATTGGGGAGAAGGGGGGGTGTGCACAACTGGCTCACCCCTCCCCCATCCGGAGGCCACTCAGGAATGGATGGAGAAGATGCAGTGGGAAGTCATGTTGCCCCAAATCTGCTAGAGTAATGTTTGGCTCTAAAGTAAGGAAATACAAGAGACCAGAGAGCTTGTAATGGACCCATTCTCGGGACTTCACAGTTTATTTTAATACAATCACCGGGGAAGTGTGGGATTTTAAAGGACAGTTGCTGTAGATTCTCCTCAACTGGGTTTTGGCTCTATCCTGGAGTCCTTACCGAGAGGGGACACAGAGTGAAGTGGGCTCTCTCCCCGGCGGAGCAATGGGCAGGCCACGGGGCGATGAGCAGCCAGGTTGGCCAGAGGCCTCAGACTCATGCCTAAAACTCGGGGTGGAGGGATGGAGGAGGAGGGTGCAGACTGCAGTGACTCAGACCAGCCCTCTGGTGGAAATGGGTCCTGATGCTCAGTCCCAGGCCTTAGGAATCCAGGGTAAATCCGTCTCTGTGGACCTGTCTCCACCTCTGTAGAGGGAAGAGATTAAAAGTGCCGCCCAGCTTGGAGAAGTCACTTCTGTCCTGTGGGTCATCTCCCCGGAGGAGGTGGGGGTTTACAGCGTCCCTGGCGAGGGCCCCTTCGAGGCGGCCCCGCCCGCCGCGAACTCGGGTGGGGCCCAGTCGCCCCGAGTCAAGGCGTCCCCCGCAGCTGCCTCTCCCCGATGAGGCTTTGAAGGCGGTTTTTCAAAATCACCGCCGCGCTCCCTCCACTCCCCCTGACAGCCTTAGGGAGCGCGCGGGGTCACCTTCCTCCCAGCCGCCCAGACCCGGCCGGGAACGTCGCTGTGAGATTCCCGGGCAGGTCCCGCCGCAGCCGGCAGCCGGCGACCCGCGCCGCCGTGCGACCGCGGAGGGGACAGCCCCGCGCCCGCCCCGCCCGGCCCGGCCCTCCGTGCGTCCCGCCCGCCGCAGCCTCTCACTGCAGCCGCTTCTCCTCCCCCGCAGCCACTCGGTATCATGTCGGCGAAGACCGCGAGCAGCCCCACGCAGGACCAGGTGGAGATCCTGGAGTACAACTTCAACAAGGTCAACAAGCACCCGGACCCCACCACGCTGTCCCTCGTCGCGGCCGAGGCCGGCCTCTCCGAGGAGGAGACTCAAGTGAGGCCCCGCACGCGCTCCGCGCTTCCCGACCCCTGCCCGGGGACCCTGCCCGGGGACCCCGCCCGGGGACCCTGCCCGGGGACCCTTCCCCCGCACCGCCGCGCCACCCTCGCCTGGGCCGTCTCGCGGATGTGAGGGCGCCCCTCGCCCTTGCCTCCCTCTGCTCCCCCACCCCCCGGTTCATCGCTTCTCTCCGCGCCCCGGGAGCCCCATCCCGGCAGCTCAGGTCCTCCCACCGCCGCGCCCCAGCTCCCCCTCCACGGGCTCCCTGTCTGCCTTCCATCGCTCGCCCGCGGGGCTCCCCAGGAGCTGCCTAGAAACCTCAGCTCATCCTCCCCTCTCCCAGCTTTCCACTGCCCTCCACAGCCCGGCATAGACGCTCTCTCCCTCTGCGCTGGAGCAGCCTTCCCGGCCCGCTCTTGCGTGCCTTCCGGGGCTCAGTGTGTCCCCGGGCTGCGAGCGAGACCGTCCTGAGCGGGGCCGCGCGCCCCAACGCAGCGCCCCGATCTATTCTCCGCCGGAGTGTCGGAGCTGGGGGAACCCTGGCGACCGGCTGCAAAGTCAGCCCTCGGGTTTGGCAAACGAGGAAACTGAGGTAGAGGGAGGGAACTGCCAGGACGGACCGGGTCCTTAAGCATGCTCTTCCCACCCCGCCGTACTCCAGCTTCCCCTTAGCGGGGCGAAAATTGCAAATAGCCTGGAAATTTGGTTCGGATATTAAAAAATCCACTGGCTCTAAGGTTTAGTTTTTTTTCTGGAGTTTTCCAAGAAGGTAGACACCTGACCTTAGAGCTGAAGGGGATGGAAGCAGATGTCCCCTTAAATGCATTGATTTATTTATCTAATTTTAAAACTTCCTATATTATTCTGAAAATTGTTTAGGGTAGAGAATGAAATACTATCCATGATTGTTAACCTCCAGGCAGTGTTGGCTCCTCCTACTGACTTTTTAAATTCATTTATTTATTTAGTATCCTCTCCTAAACTCTTTTACTTTCCCTTTGGTCCTGGAAAAAACAGTTGGTTATGCATACTACTACTTGGAACTGCTCTAGCATCTCTCCCTAGGGAGCCCAAAGCTCTTCACACCTCTAGTCTCAGCTCCAAGGCGAGCTGTTCTTGTTCTTCCCATTGCATAGACCAGAGCATCAGACGCTCCTCCTCTCACCATGAACCATACTCAGATGAGGCTTAAAAGTTTGGAATGGATGCTCTGGTCGATCCTAGAACTAAGTCCCTGGACCCCAAGTACGAAATGATTTTTACTAATTAAGCCAGACACACTTTGTAGAATTTGCCTCTAGAAAATCCTCATTCCTAGGTCAAACAGAAAGTCAGGGGAACAGCAGAACTCAGTAGGAGGTGATTTACTGTAACCCAAGTCTTACAGCTCATGTTTCTGGAAACCCATGAGGAGGCAGCCTGGCTGAAGTTTTATCATTTAAAATCCCATGCTATATTTAGAAAAGAAGAGTGATCACAGAGACAGTAATTACTCATCTTTTAACTAGAAGGCTGTGGATGTATTGTGGGCACAGCACCAACTAGGGGTCTAAGCTTCTCTCAGCCTCTGATTCTCCCATGGTAAATTGTCATCACTCCCTTACCTATAAAGCAAAATAATTGTGTTGACCTTTGTAATGGCTAATAGTTGTCAGGTATTGTTCCAGGCATCCTCCAAGTATTATATCACTTACTTGTCACAACAGTGCTGTGAGGTATGCGCTGTTAGCCCAGTGGTATAGGTAAGGGACCTGAGGCACAGAACGGTGAAATAACTTGCTCGAGAACACAGCTAAGAGGCAGCAGAGCTAGGACTTGAACCGTGGCAGTCTGGGCATAATCCAGACTCCTAACCAGGATGTTCTGTTGTCTCCACAGAGGAGGAATACAAACACCTCAGTGTCCTGGAAGGAAAAGACTGAAAATTCAACTCATATTTCTTCCTGAAAAAATATCCATGCCTTAAATAACAGTCATCCCAGGCTACATTCATCCCTCAAGATTCATCATATGTTAGAGAACTGAAATGAAATCGAGTGAGGGACAGGAAGAAAGAAAGGGCACCTGCTTCTTTCCATGACTGAGGTCAGCCCATTCAGACCCTGACAGCAGGTTCATCTGTCCCTTCTCCCATTTCCCCTCTTCTACCTTCCTCGAATGAACACATGGTAGACCCAGCCCTGAAATCAGTGGGTGTAGGGGTGAGTCAGCCTCACAGGAGGGCCCCTGGCTTCCTTTTCCTGCCATGGGGCCAACACCTCCTTCCTCCCTGAGGCTGCCACAGCTAGGCTTGCCTCTGCCTTTCTGCACAGACCTGCAGGGAAGCATCTGAGAGCCCAGAGCTCAGGGAGAGGCAACATTTTGCAAGTTCAGGGAAAGAAGCTTCCAAGGTAACCCTCCAGTCATCCCTTATCAGGCTGGGTCTCATCTTCCAACTTCCCATTCTTTCCACCCACCACCCTCCTGCCTGCTTCAACCCTTTCCAACCCCTCCCACCCGTGTGCACTGGTAGGTGAGAATGGTTTCTTCTTTAATCTTCCAAACAACATTTAAATTTTAAAAAGTGTCTTCTAAAGATGTTATGCCAATGATGAACTTTCAGACACCAATAAAATTATAGCAGGCTTTGCAGTGACCCTTTAAATAACTCATGGAGGCCTACACATCAGCAGTGTCTGGTGTCAGCACACCCCCTATTTCTAGTCTTTGTTAGTGTTGTCCCTTTACACCACTAATAAAGGGCACCAAAATGATTTTGATTTCATATCCTGATGCCCACGTCCTTAACACCCCCACCTCCAGAACTGGAATCCTGTTCTTCATTTTCCTAGAACAAGTAATGCGATAGTAGAAAAAATAAGCATGAGATGCTCCTATGAGATAATAAACTAGAGTGATTCACATTGCTGATACTTTGGCAGGGGCAAGAGGGACTGAGAGGTTGAAACATTCTCTGACTAGGGGCTTGGGTGACCTCTTTCTAACTGTCCCACCGTAGGACCATGTTCTCCGCTGGGATGGGGGGGCACCTAGAGGAACCCAGAGTGATGTGAAGGGTGAGCTAATGGAAATATCTTTTTAAGTTGCATTTTCTGGAATCCTAGAATAGGTCTTTCTCATGACAGTAATTTGATATCTCCTACATTTAAATGAGATCAACCTGACAGTACCGACCCCAGTATCTTTTATTGTTTTGAAGTTAGTGTTAGACGCCTCTGAGAAAGCTCTTCCCTCAGCCCCTTGGGAGGCTGAGATGAGCTGGTGTTTTCTGTCATCACTAACTCAAGCCCAGTGGAGCTGGCATTGGTTCTTAGAGAAGTTTCCAGTATTCTTATCTCCTCTTGATGTCCTGGGACTATTCCCAGAACTCAGTGGTTTTAGTTGTTAGACGTTTTATCAGTGGAATAAAGACCTCTAAAGGTCTCCCCCTGAAAAGGATGAAATGTTAGTTACTAGAGAAAAGGACAGGAACAATGTCATTTTGCCTCAACCCCTCCCCATCACAGCGTCTAATTATCATCTGTTCACTTGGAGTAAATAAATCTCCATCAATGGGTGAGGGTAATGAGGGCATCCATTTATAAGCAGGCGAGGGATGAATGTCTTTCCCAGGGGGTGACTGGAACAAAGGAGAGAGAGAGAGAGCTAGGAGGAAAATCAGTACCGATGTGAGTGAGGTGTGGTAAGATTCAGCTCTAGAGGGAAAAAAGCAAATGAGGTGTTGAATGGTTTTTGTTGGACAATAACTGGTTTGCTAAATCATTATATACATACTTGATTTAACACCTATATCTTTAGAAAATAGTCAAGCTTTTCTTGAACTTTTTCCCACTCCTCTATGCTAGGGTTCAGTTTGTTAAGCATCTGGATGCTAACTCACCAATTCCCAAACGGGGTCCTTGCCGAAGTTATTTTTAGTAACTGTACATTAACATTCTGCATCACTAACAGTGTAAAGATGTGGGTGGCTCTTCTGAATGAGGCCAACTCAATCATGTTGCCTTCAATGAATCCTGATAGAAAATGAGACTTTCCTCCTCCAAGTTTTAATTAGTCAGTCGTTAAAGCTTTGCCCTTTATTCAGCCCTGGTAACTGGAAATCCTATTGAATCAGACCTTGTAGCCTTGAAAACACCCCACAGAGCTGCCTCGTTAATGAAGCTGGAGCCCTGATATTCTCACACCAGATTTCAGAGTTAACTAAACACACCCATGGATCACAGAAGAAAATGATGCCCACCTTTGGCAGTAGAATTTTGGTTAACCACTGAAGTTACACAAGTTCTCTCTTCTCTTGAAGGTTAGTTATCCCCAGGAGTAAAAGATGCCCTCCCCACCAGAGCAACCCTTAAAGGGAAGCTTTCCCTAAGGGTGGGTAGTATGCGGTCTTTGGCTTTAGAGCACTTTTCTCTGTTGCCACCCCACAGTACAAAGGTGTATATGACAACCGATCTTAACAGCTGTGTGCGGCATTTCAGTGTGTCAACTCTGTTGTCCAGTTAGGGTGAGTTGCAGGTATGGTCCCCTTCTGTGCAGCCAGCCTAGCGTCGGTACAGAGCCCTAAAGTGTTCTGTGGCCTCACTCCCTCCTAACTCCACAGGCCTTGATGTTCAGAAACCCTGTCTCCTGTGGTTCTCACTCTTTCTTCTGATCTTGAGCTTATGCCAAACTGCCTTTCAGCTCCCTAGTTGTCTGCAGAGATGACACCTTCTCCAGCATGGCCCTAGAGCCCAGCCTATTTGTTCCGAGGTTAAGTGTGCAGCTGGGCGGGTGTCTGTCTGCTAAGTCGGAACCCACTAGATGTTTCTCACCACACTCTCTCCATCATCACATCCCAGGTCTGACATCCCATGGCTGTGCTCTTTCTGCTTCCCTTCGGTCCCCTCATCTGCGTACCCCTAGAATAGGTAAATGTTAGAAAACCCAGAAGGGACAGTAGAGACCACCTGAGCTTACCTCTTCATTTAGCGTTCAGCTGATTGGTGCTTTATTTTTAGAGACTTCCTCAAGTTCTCACAGCCAGTTGGTTACAATAGAACTTCCCTTTGGCAGGGCCCAGAACACCTAGTGGTCACCTACCCAAGCAGCTTGCCTGTTTATACCAGTGGGACCTGAACATACCAGCATTCTCCCTGTACACCACGATGTGTGAAAGGTGGGGACGTAGAGAGGAGAATAAAGCCTGCAAGTCCCGACTCCCCAGAGAGTGCTCTAGCGCATCCCCTCCGGGTGGATCAGTGCGTACTGCTTCTATTTCTCACTAGTCCTTCTTCCAAGGTTGTTGTTGTTGTTTTGTTTTGTTTTTAATCCTTATCCAAGGATATGTTTTAATGCAGAGAGGAAGGGAGAAAGAGAAACAGATGTGAGAGAGAAGCATCAGGCAATTGACTCTCATACATGCCCTGACTGGGGATTGAACCCACAACCTAGGTATGTACGCTGACCAGTAACGGAACTTGCAGTCCTTTGGTGTGCTGGATGACCCTCCAACCACCTGAGCTACCCAGCCGGGGTTTGTTGTTTTTTTAAATCACAGTTTCCTCCTGGCCAACCTCGTTCATACCCTAGTCTTTTCCCCAGCATGGTCTCTTTATCTTCTCTTGGCCTGGTTTCCCTTCCCCTCAGCAGCATAATAAAGGCAGCCACTGCCTTTCAACATGTAAAACTGGTTTAGCCCTCATATGGTACCATGTGTAGAAGCATCTCATCTGGGGGCTTCCTTAAATCCTAGATCACTTTTGTGAGGTGCGAATATTTGGGTCACAAAGAGCTAGAAGATTCTAAGTAAACTGGTAGACCCACTTCATCTGCTTTCATTGCCCAGCAGCCCTGGAGCAAGAGAGAATGAGCTAGCCCACCCCATGGATCCCCAGGAAGGAGTTCTCTGAGGCTGTCCAGTGCTCAGTTACCTATTCCTTTTATTCAACAAATACTTACTAAGCACTATGCATGAGCAAGGCCCTTGGTGTGATCAGCACACTGATGAGATACAGCAGCTGTAGGTATCTATTTGGGGCATTGAGGAGATGCGTCGGTTTCTTTTATGCATTCAGTAAACATTGATTACTTTCTAATTGGTAAGCCCTTGCACTGGGGGCTATGGATGAATAAAGTCTCTGCTCATAAATATTGTATTCTAGAAGGAAATGTAGATTAAATGTGAATACACAGATAAACAATTTTACAGACGTTAAAAGTTCTGTGAAGATAAAGTTCTAAAACAGGTGGAGAACCTACTTTAGATAAAGTAGGCAGGGAAGGCTTCACTGAGAAGTTTCTATTTAAACAGATGATGCCTGAGGATGAGAGGGAGATCATCAGATAAAGATAGAACATTCTAAACATAAGAAACAGCATGTGCAAAGGTCCTGAGGCAAGAAAGGCAAGTGTCACAGTAAGAACCATCCCCAGTGGACACATTCCTTGCTCTCCTCCTTTCCATTTGGACCACAGAGGCTACCTTTTAGAAAGGAATGGGCGTCTCATTTTTTTCAGTATGTGTCAGGTAATTTTGCACATTTCCTTCCTCCAGAAATGGTTTAAGCAGCGCCTGGCCCAGTGGCGGCAGGCGGAAGGCCTACCCTCAGAATGCAGATCCGTTACGGACTAAGGAGATGGTGGCAGCTTCCCTCCGTGAAGACCATCTGCGGTTTCTCGCCTCAGCTTAACCAGGCTATTTTGGTTTTTCAGTGTAGTGTTGTATGTTCCTCTGTTAGCTGTCCTGCTATTTAACACAATGTTGTATTTTTTAATGTATATAACTAAAAAAGAAAATAACAATAAGAAGCTATGTGCAGCTTCTGTGTATAGCAGTGGCTTGGCTAGGAAAGTGGTGTGGCTTGCATTTCCCTCGGGGTCATGATGACAGATGGTGTGAAAACTATCTAGGTTTGCTTCTGATCATCACCTCCCAATCATAACAATTTACTTTCAACATCCAATTCAGAACAGGCAAGGCCTCTGTTGAAAAGATAATGTGACCAAGAGGGAGAAACATTTTCTTCTGAATCTACTTCCCCAAGTTGTTTTCCTTATGTTTCATTTAATACATTGAGGTGGAATGAGAATACAGAGGAATATTTGAGTCACTCAGATTTCATAAAGTAGTTCCTTGGATTAAAGCTACATTAACTTAGAAAGAACCCAGTTAGATTAAAAGACAGAAACTCCACAAGTAATATGACAGAAGAGCAAGTAACTAAGAAAAAAAATCCCTAAAGTCTTTAATTTACTTTATTTAAATGTTTGTTAATTTTTTTTTTTGCTAACCAAAATGAACTGCTTTTTGTCTTTAAAATGATGTTCTAAATAAAAGTTTTTGTTGAAAAATGCACTGAGTTCTCTGAATTTTTTTTTTTTTTTTACTGAATAATAACACAGGAGCAGACTGACAAAAGAGCTATCATTTTCCAAACTCTTGCTGCTCAAAGTGTGGTCCAGGACTGGTCATCGGCATTAGCTGCGAGCTTGTGAGAAATGCAGAATCTCAGACCCCAGTCCAGACCTACCCATCAGAATCTGCGTCTTTCACAAGGTCCCCACGTGGTGGACACACACGTGAAAGTTTGAGCAGCACCGTCCTAAAGGACTCTGCAGTCCATCTGTACCCACTTTCTATCACAGCACATTAACTAACCGTCTTAATACTTTATCAGTGAAGGTTGTGTTTGACTGCATGGAACAGTAACTTGATTACAATGGGTTAACCAAATAGGCCTTTTGTCTGTTTGGTTAAATGATTACTGTTTTTACATAAGACACCAGCAGGTAAGTGGCTCCCTACTTGTTGTCAGGACCAATGGTCCTTCTATCTTCCTACTTTGCTATCTTCAGCATGTGGCTCTTGTGTTCATGGATGACAGAGGATGCTTGGGCATTGACTCTGCATTTCAAGGGGGGAACTAAAGGAAGAGAAAAAGAAAAAGGCAAATGAGCCCTGGCAGGTTTGGCTCAGTGGTTAGAGCGTCAGCCTGCGGTCCAGAGAGACCCGGGTTCAGTTCCCGCTAAGGGCACGTACCTCGGTTGCAGTTTGTCCCCGGCCCTGGTTGGTCGTGCAGGTGGCAGCCACTCGATGTGTCCCTTTCATGTCAACATTTCTCTCTCTCTCCCTCCCACTCTATCTGAACAAAAAATGGAAAAATGTCCTCGGGTGAGAATAAAAAAAAGAAAAAGAAAAAGGCAAATGACAGCCAAGACTCTCCCCTTTTAAAAAGGTTTCCTGGGAGCCCCCCACCCAGCAACTTCTAGCTGCATATCATTGGCCAGAATTGGGTCACATGGCCACTCCTAACTCAAGTGAGTGTGGTAGGTGAGTATTTTAAATTGGGCATATTGCTGCCTTGAGCAAAATCAGGGTTCTTTTGGTAAGAAAGAAGTGGGGGTAGATATTGGAAAAGCCACAAATGTCTGCCAACCCAGCCTGGAATGACACTGGTGGGTACTTCTGAACCCCCACCTACACAGTCTTTTCAGTTCTTTACCATAAATAGTCCAAAATAAGAAACACTAACAGTTATCCAGAATACAAATATTTATAAGATCCCCTTCAACATCTTTGACAAGCTTCCTCTTCCTCTACCTTAAAACATTTAGTTTGTAAACAATACACAGTGAACCAGGATTGGAACAGAACAGTCTCAACTGGCACACTCACTTACACCCTGATCAGTGGTGGTCTGAGCATCTGTCAGCACCCAGGGCTGGATGCTGACATCACTTTCTGGAAAGAAGGCAGGGAGAAGGTGAGGATGAGCCAGGAACATGTGCACATACTAGACACCGGCTAACAGGCAAGGAGAGGAACTGTGCTGCTAATATGACTGTGGGCAAAGGGCACACAGCTCAGTGATTTGTCCATGTCTAGCAATGAGAGAGACGCTAAACCAGGTCTAAGACCCAGGTCAGAAGTCCTTCTAGCATACCAGTGACGTAATTCAAGAACAAGCCACCAGGTCAAGAAGAGTTGGCCAACTGGGCAGAGAGAGAGCCTTTAGTTGGTGCTGAGAACTGTTTATGGCAGAAAGATCACAATGAGTCTTCGAACGGCACATGCTAGGAGGAAATGAGGGTTCGTGTCCACTCATTCATTCATGTTAGCAAGAGCCAAGTTTTTATTCATTCATTTCTTGCATTTGAAGTACTCCTCGATGACATCTTTGGCCCGAGAATCTTTACCATAGCCCTTAACTACCACACAAGTGCAGCCAACCACTTTAAGGGGTTTTCCCTCTCTGTCAATTTTTCAGAGGGCCTAGCCATCCCCCTAGTTTCTTGTTGTCATCAACATTACTGAGGTTGATTTGGGGCCTCACCAACTTGACATACACAAGTTCATCACAGATGGAAGCAAGCCCACTCAAATGGCCTTGGCTTTTGTCTAAGGCTTTGGCAGCTCCACGAGTTCCACATTAGGCCACCACGGTTGAGGCTGGTCTTCAGCACCTCTTGTCAGGCAATATTAACATCCATTACCCCTCCAGCTGCAATGCCTTCCTCGGCCACGACCATGGGGTGGATTACAGGTGGGTAGCAGGGGGGTGGCAGGTGGAGCCGAACCTTGAATGTCCCTGAGCTTCTGCCCCTGTGTGGCTCGGCAGCAGCAGGGAAAGAGTTGGTGCCTTTTAATGTGAATTTGTTACCAATACTAACCTACTTTTTCAACTGTGGTACAAGGATAGCAGCACTCTACTTTTAAAAAGGCACTTTGTAAAGAGTAATAATAATTACTATTGCTACAAAGTCCCGACAAGGACAGGGCGAGGTTCACTTTGACTCCTGAGATAAGTCTCAAGGAGAACTCAGAGCTCTTTTAGTTCTGTTATCAGGAGTCTTTTTCTGGACACCCAGGCTCACACCCCAAAGTGATAATGCCCACCCCAGACTGAGAAACACTCTGCACAATCTCTCCCTCTTTGTCTTGTGTTGTCCCAGTTTTGCCAATGCAGACACTGTTGCTTAGACTGATATTTATCTCCAACCCCTTTCTCTGTCACCACCTTTCTCTGTTGCAGGCTGTAGAGGCTGCAAAGCTGGAATATTCCCTCCTCCATCCTCACGTGGACGCTGAGGAGGTCAGGTGACGTGAGCTGGCCAAGGACGTGTAGGTTGAAGACTTGTGGTGGGGTGGCTCTGGGGAAGGCCTTGCCTCTCTTGGTAAAAAGTACAGAGGCAGCAGGCTCTGACTTCTCCTCCTTTCTTGTTTTGAATCCCTATCATATGTTAGTTGTAGAACTAGAGATAAGCAAAGAAATGAGACATACAATAGAAGCCATAAAAATCACTCATGATCCCATTAGCCAGAAGTAACCTTAACATTCACCTTAATATCATAGTAGTATACTGAGGGGATGGTTTTTATTTATTTTTTAACCAGTGGGTCCCATGACCCCCTCCTTGGATTTGATTAATTTGCTAGAACAGCAAATTAACTTAGGAAAACAATTCACAGAACGTAGGAAAACAATTCACTTATTATAAAGGATATAACTCAGAAACAGCCAGTTGGAAGATATGAGGGAAGGGGGTGGAGCTTTCCCACCCCTAAGCACCCACCCTTCAGCGCCTCCTAGAGTTCACCCACCCGGAGTTCCCCTGAATCCTATACGGTAGGGATGTCTATGGAGGCTTCGTTATGTAGGCATGATTTAGGTATGATTGGTTACATCGTTGACCATTCAGTATTGAACTCAATTTCCAGGTCCAGGGCGATGGGGGTGGGGTTGCAGCTCCAACACTCTAATCCAGCGATTTTCAAGCCTCGTGCCGTGGCACACTTGCGTACCACCAGACTTTTTACAACATGCACTACCTGACCATTTAGTCAGGAGCACTGACCTCTTTTCCCATAGGTTGTCAAATAAAAAAGTGACAACAGCCAACACAATAGATGATACCTATTTTTTTTTTTTTTTTGTCAGATCAGGAAAAAATGTATTTTTTTTTTTTGGTGAGCTGCAGACTTTTAGTAATTAGCGTACGTGTGCCATGAGATGAAAAAGGTTGAAAGTAATCGTCGCTATTCTAATCACATGGTTGTGTCTGGCAACAAGGTCCATCCTGTCTAGGGGCTTTCCAAAAATCACCTCATTAACATAAACTCAGGTTTGGTTGAAAGGCCTTGTTATGAATAACAAAACTCTGCTTTCACCTTCCTCATCTTGGAGCTATTTCAGAAACTGGAGCTCTGAGGGCAAAATACCAAGCCTTAAAACAAAAGGAAGGGAAGAGTTCACCGAAGGAGGACTGTCAGCCACCAGAATAATTAAGAATCCGAGAAAAGCAGGAATCCGGAGTAAAAGATAGCCAGGGATCTATAAGCCAGCAAAACTTGAAAATAATTGGGCAGAGAACCAGACTTTTCCCAGTTGATGGAGACTGAGAAAAATTATTTTTGCATATTAAAGGACAAGATGACAAGTAGACAATTTATAAACATCAAGTACATACTTTTTTGAACTGTGTGCAAAACCTTCTTGGGGACATCTTGCTACTTTCTCTTCATCCTTGCCAGCTCCCTTTAGAAATCTTGTCCCACATTATCCCACTGTCCACCAAGCACTCATTAGAGAACCTCATGCCCACTGCTTCCCAGGCATCGCTGCCTAAACTCAGTGCCGAAGTAACTAGCAATAACAATAGTATTAAGAAAAATGATCTGAAACTTCACATTCTTTCCCCATGATGGAAGTACTGAGAGGTAGTGAAGTGAACACAAGTCAGGCCAGGATCTGGGACACCAGCCATTGCTTATGTTGGCAAGGCAGGAGAATCAGATTCTTGGGTTTTATGAAGCCTGGTGCCATGATGTTATGGTCTAGAGGAAAAACAATGACAGGCACGAAGGAGTGAAGGTTCCTAGAAACCTTCTCCCCTTATCTTCACCATCGGTCACATTCACATGTCAGCACTGCCACACTGGGGCTGTGCCCCTGTGAACCCAAGTTTCCATGTAGCTTCTGGCAAGAGTTTACCACTTGCACTTAGAAAAACATAAGACCATTGGATTTGAATCTCAATCTAACGACTAAGTACAGTGACAACCTGACTCATGGTTCATGTGACTCACCCTTCGAGTTCCAGATTAGCAATGCAGAAGAAGCATTTTCTTTCTCTTTCCTCCAGATGGAAGTTCCCTCTCCCTACTCCTTCAAAAAAAAAAAAAAAAATTTTTTTTTTAAATGTGGGAACTTGATATTTTCTGGGAGTAAAGAAGGCAAATTTCTGGGGCTAGTGATCCTAAGGA